GGGGGGGGGGGGGGGGGTGGGGGGAGGGAGAGGGAGGATGCTGCCAGCGGAAAATGGCTGCTGCAACCTCAAGCCTATCCTGATACACCGAAACGACATCAAGGTGGCGAGAGAGGGCGAGAGGAAGGGAGAGAGGAAAAGAGAGAAAGATTAGGAAAATGAGAGCAGATAGAGAGAGAATGTGAGTGAGGCTGTGAGTGTTTCCTGAAAGGAGGATAAAGAGAGAGAGAGAGGGAGAGGGAGAGAGAGGAGACCCTGGGGTGGGCTGCTGCAAGCGGCGGGCAACACCGAGCCATGGAGGGCGAGTAAGTCCTTACATTTTCATTTTCAACATTGCACATATATATTCAGCAATCCGCCAAAACGGATAGAAAGAACGCCACCGCCATCAATGTCACACCAATCCAGCATCACGCAATGTTATCAAAATCGTTGCTCTTCTTTAGCGGGCTGCCGAGAATAAAAACAGCATTACGTAGTCTTGGATCCACAGCATACACCCCGTTTCCGACACATGCACGACAATATGTGATACATGTTTGCCCACCTACGTGTGGACGTGTGCGTTTAAACGCCGGGCGCACATTCTAAACGCTATTTCTGATAACAATAACAACATATTAGGAACAACAAAAACAAGCTATGCAACAATTTAGAACTAAATGCGTGGTCACGGGTTAGTTAGAACAGTCACGAAATAAGTCAATGTGTAAAATGTATGGAGAGGGGGGGACAAAAAGCGGAATATGGCGAGTTTGGGGCCAGCATCTCGTCATTCAAGAAATGGCTACAGTGCGACGGGGGAGGGATGGAGGCGCTGTGATTTTTATCAACGTGTCTCGGGGTTTCATTATGATTTTTTAAAGCCAAACTTTATGAATGAAATGTGATTTTTTTCTCTCGCTCGCTCGCTCTCCCTCATCCTCACCCCTCCTCTCCTCCTTCCCTTTTCTAATCCCCACCCCCCCAGCTCTCCCCCCATCTCCCGTTTCCATCCTCTCACCCACTCGTTCCCCCTTTTTCTTCCCCTTTTCCCACGCGATTGCTTTGTATTTAGGCCTTATACATATTTCCGACGAAACGCCTAGCGCGCGCGGCGCGCTGTCGAAGCCCGTCTCGCGCCGCCCCATTCACAAAAAACACTATAACAAAAAAATATCGGGGTGTGTTAATGATTTGCGTGCAGCCGGGGCGTCTGGGGAAAACAATTGCAAATCCTAAACAATTCATTGTGGTTTTAAATGAAGCAAAATACGCTTCGGTGGACGCATTGCATGCACACATCGAACTGCGGTGCTGAATTGTTCAGCCGGTTGGCGAAGGCAAAGCTTCCTTTTGCAAGAATGCCGGGGCCTCTGATGGCGAATGGGTGCGTTCATTGATACATCTATCTGGGAAACACTCATTCTTCCTCCCTCCTCCTATTTGTGCATCTCTCTGCTCTTCAATGCTGGCTCTCCTTCTATCCACAGACGGATGCGTTTGCTCAATATGGGCCTGCTGTTTTTTATTCTCAGTGCATGTAGCCATAGTCAGACCACAATGAAATAGTCAGAATTACACTCCTTAAGTTCAGACATGCATTAATCATGCCAAACAACCATAAACAAATATTTCTTGATTTTTCTTACCGTCATCGCATGCTAATTCAAATCATATTTCCCTTAGTCACTTGATAGTAGATCTGTAAATACTGCCCTGGATGTAAGACTACTGTATGAAAGGCTTTAGAGCTGTCACACGTTAGAACACCAATACCCACTGTCAATTCTGGCTTTTATTAGCGAATATTGAAATTCGCAGTTGCCTCGCACTGTCACAAATTAGTACTGCATTTTTGTATTGTGTATACTTCATCACTTTTTTCAACTGAATAAATGAATGAATGAATGAATGTGCGTCTTCAGTGCATGTCTGCGTGCATTTGGGTGTGTTTGTGTGTACAGTACAGCCTATGTTGCATTGTTTAATCAGCCTGGGCCTCTGCTCACTCTCTTGGCTTCCCTGGCAGTGTGCGTGTTCGTGCAGTGGTGATGACACGTGACGACTCCAGTGGCGGTTGGGTGCCCCTTGGAGGTGGCGGCCTCAGTCATGTGGTGATATGTAAAGGGCGGAGTCATGAAGGCAGGGGGCGGAGAGAATACATCATACGCGGAGAACGGCTGCGAGACCGAGCAGTGAGTGTGTGCGTGTGTTACGGCTGTCTTTGGCGCCACGTTGCTCCTCAACGCCGCCTGGAGACTGTAGATTCTGTAATGTGGGGCCACGATTTGAGGAAAGGATACAACTTGGTTGGTGAACTAACGTCTTATGCTGCTGCGATTGTCCTTTGTGTCTTTAGCCGGTGTTGGAGTGCGCAGTGCAAAGGGGGCTAGTGTACAATAAGGTGAACCCCATCTTCCATCACTGGCGAGTAGAAGATCGAAAGTTTGGCCTTACGTTCCAGAGCCCCGCCGACGCCATCTCTTTTGAGAAAGGGCTGAAACTTGTTTTAGACAAGCTCGACAGAGGTAGACATACACGAGTCACACATGAGAACTTTCACTAGTTGAGTTGCAATTGGAAAAGCCCAAATCCTCTCTTATGTTGTTATCAAGGCTCTGAATCCCCCTCGTCCTCCACACCAGAAGAAGCCGACACGGAGGATGATGGACAAGCTGTGAGTATCCAAGCAGTTTGTCGTTTGGGCATTTCTTCTCTGGAAGTGGCTCATTTACTCTCCCACTTGGGGCCAATGCAGTTCTTGGTGTTTCTTGACTTGTGGGATGACACGTAGCCTCTGCCAGTCTCATACAGGAAGTGAGTCGTCATCCAACAGCAGAAAGGAGATGCTTCCCAAACCCATCACCATAGTGACAAGCGAGTCGTCGTCTACATGCTTCGTACGGTCAGAGGAATTTAGTTTTGGATCCAGCCGTGCCGTCACAACCCAGACGCCTGCTCAGGTAAAACACCTGCCGCTCCGAGTCCACCATCGGTATTTTGGTGAACAAAGGAACAGACGCATGTTACATTTCTCAGTTAGTGTTCCATTTACACACTTATGAGCTCAAAGAAATACTACTAAGAAAGGGGTGGGAACATAATTGGGTCTTTGGGGATCCCTGCAAAATCAGGGATACCTAAAATGTAGACGTTCAGAGCAATGAGATGGGAGGTTGATATTTTCCTCTTGTCTCCACCTCACCGTAAGTCCACCCTAAACTTTTATTTCTTCTACATGACATAATGTTCACATTTAAACATCTCTCTACCACCCCATAGATTAAAATCCTTTAGAAATTGTGTTTTCTTTGTCATTTCAGATTCAATATCTGCTAGCGATGAAACCTCCTGCAACGGCCTCCACAGAGCACACTGTTCCTGACTAACTCTGTAATTCTACACCCTCCCCACAGATCCACACCAGGCCAGGACAGCACTCGCAAATGACGGCTGTGTTGAATCCGCCAGCGCCCCCGCCCCCACCTCCTGCTCCACCCAGTCCTCCTGTGGGTCAACGAGCCTCGTCTCCCCTTTCCCCCCTCTCCCCTACCATTTCCCTGCTGGAGGAAGGGGACCTACGCAGTGTAGATCCTTGCAAAGACCTGTGGGGCTCTCGAGGTTATGAGGACTATCGTCGGGCGGGGGCCACCAGGACTATGGTTGGGGGGCTGACCGGGGGTGTAGTTGTCAGCGGTGGAGGGAGCCTGCAGGACAAGTCAGAGCTGTGCGTGGTTCGCTTTGAGAAGGACCTGGCGGGAGTGGGGACGGCGGGCTGCGATGTGACCGTGAGCCTGGACAGCAAAGCTTCCCGGAGACTGTCCTCGTCCTCGCCCACATGCGTGTCCATGCCCAACGCGGTTTCAGGCTCGTCCTCAGCTGCCGGCTCTCCCCCAGAGACGTGCAAAGGATCCCCCTCTCCCTGCTGCATCCACACCTCGCTGGCTACCCCCCGGTCGCGGACTCGTAAGCGAGGAGGAGGGGCCGGCAGCGGCGGGGGAGACCCGGGGGTGCTCTCCCCCGACGACGACAGCCCATGTCCTCAGGCTTCATCGTCATGCTCGTCGCGCTGCGTGTACTGCCGCTCGGTTTTCAGCGCTTCGGAGAACGGGCGGGGTCGCTGCAGAGACGCCCCGGACCCGGCCCTGCACTGTCTGCGCCAGTGGACCTGCGTGTGGTGTGCAGAGAGCCTCCTCTACCACTGCATGTCGGACTCTGAGGGGGAGTTCTGGGAGCCTTGCTCGTGCGACGACTCGTTGGGGGGCCACCCGCACCCCCTTTGCTGTGCCCGCTGGTTGGCCCTCCTGGCCCTTTCGCTCTTTGTGCCCTGCATGTGCTGCTACCTGCCTTTGCACGCCTGCCTGCGGTGCGGGGAGAGGTGTGGCTGCTGCGGGGGAAAGCACAAGGCGGTCCGATGAGGCCGGGCTAGGGGATGCGAGTGGTTCCCTGAATCAGCTAAGGTCTGGCTGTTGAGAGGGCGGAGCATCCGAAGGCTCTCGGTAGACCCAGAACTCCGACGTGGCCCTCCGAAGCCCCGCGGCCTTCCACTGCATTCCGCTCGTTCTCTTTTCAACCTGGGGCCTTTCTCACTGGCCCTCGCCTGCTGATGGTGCACTAGAATCAGACCAGGCTCTATGGGATTCAACTGAAGCCTTCACAGTGGATTTGAGGGTTGGCTGATCTAGAATTGGCGGTCATAGACTTTAATACAGTAAGAGAGTGGCAGAGGCAACATGTGTGAACACTGTTTAAAATGTCTTGGGCGGGCAGATGTTTATATATGCGATTGTTAGAATTTTAATTGGTATAATTTATTAAATATAAAACATATTGACACAATCCCCCAAAGGCACACACTATCACATAATACGAAAATGAAATTGTGGGGAAGTTATTTGTTTCATGTTGGCCTGTTTATCAGTCAGACCCTTTACCTCTAATTTTACCTCAGATGTTACTCGACCCCCGTTAAGAAAGCAAATGGAGGAAGGAGAGAGAGAGCTTTGGGGAGAGGGAGCACGAACGAGTGCAGACAGCACGAGCATCCGAGACTATTCTGGTTGTTTTTTCGGTTGAAGTAGTAGACAATAGTTGAAGGAAGGTTATCAAATGCAAAGAGACAATTCATATTATGGGAAGTTGCAACGACAACCACAAAGACTTAAAAGTCATAAAGTGATTCATTATGGTCCCTTTTTAACCAAACACAGGTTCATTTTGTTTTCTAAAAAGAAGAAAAGTAAATAAGGAATGTGTGTAGAACATTAAACACCATCAGTTTACACATATCTTCTCATCTTTCATGTATTTTCAATATTGATAGTAGAAAACATCCCATTTCATCACTGTAATTGTTGAACCATTCAAGGTGCTTACAACTGAGGCCTCTGAGCGAGTCTATTCTACCTAACGTACACAAAAAATGTGCATTTCTAACCCCAAAGAAAAACCAAACAGGATCCCATGCTTACCGATCTGCCGATGTGTTTAGGCCTTTGGATGAGACGCCGCCAAAAAATGAAGTGCAATGAACATTGTATTAAAAGAGTATTTTTGTACCAGTCGCTCAAGTTAGAAAAAAACATGTTCAAAAATGGTTGGAACTAAATACTGTAGTGTGTTACTGTGTCCACTATGAAGCAGAAATGATACACAGGAACACAGACTTGTCATTCGGCAGCCGCACATGTGTGACATTTACACTTACAGTCTGTTGACCCCGAGATGAAGAAAATAGATATTGACTTGAAAAAGACAAATGGCGATAGGTCTTTGTTTGGGCCCAGTGGCAGATGTGTTTGCTCAATGTTGCTTTAAGCTTATTTAAAGTTCCTGCTGCCTCTTCGATGCCATCGATGAGGTGGTGCGAAAAAGTATTGTACTGCACTTGAGGTGCTTAGGAAGCAAAATAGTGAGTGAGGAAGGTTTTTTGTAAGTTTATAGCTGGGCTTTAAGACAAATTCCCCCGGATTTAGTATAGCCTCCCCACACCAGTAAAATAATTCACGGTGTACATATTCCAGAAAAGAGAGACTGGAGACACCAGTTGCTCCACAGAAAATTGCTTCTTGACGAAAATGCAATGCATACTCAATATTCATAAAATCACAATTTATGTTGACAGAAGGAGGCTTTAATATCAAATACTGTTACTATAAAATGCTTAAACAAACTTTTAAAAACAAATATTTTCAAAATACCTCATGAAATGCATTGAACATCAAAGATGGATGACATGCCAGCAGTGTAGAGAATCTGCAACCCATTATATTTTGATTTGAGACTACTTACAGTAGGCTCTGTATGAGGAAGTCACCCAGTAAACGTTGAATTAGGGCAGAATAAACCTTTCAGAAGCTTCACCAGATTATTTATATTTTAGGTCAGCCACGGTTTTGTCATCCAAAGTGACTTAAAGTGAGTGAGCAGGCAGTAAGCAGGGTTCAGAGTCGTGAACACGACCCTTGACCTGGAGACTGCCACCACCAGATCCTCATTTAACCGGCTGTCCCACACACACACAAACAAAACCACACACACACGGTCCCCACAAATCTGCACTGCATAGAACTGAACACAGACACACACGTTCACTCGATGGTGCAGATATACAGGACTAGTAAAGCCATTGCACACAGTTTGCTACTTCTGGTTCAGAATTGGTGTTAGGGTACAGTACTGACAGTCATGTGGTCACGATTGCAGGCCCCATTCTTACATCTTAATAAATGTGCCTTTTGATTTGAGTAATCAATAACTTATGATTTTGAAGTAACTCTGTGTTAAGTACTATTTACTTTTTTGGGTTGGGTTGATTTCTGCCAATGTGCATATTTTCAAATGTACGTATTTATTAGTTTCAAAGTAATTAATGAGATATTACCTGTTTATTTATTTATTGAGATATTTATTCTGATTCTTTATTTTTTGAGACAGGTTTTTATTCGTGCTGTCTTACTTCTGACTTTGTGCCAATGTGCTGCTTTGAGGTGTTACATATCGTGGGTTTGTATCATTATTAAACCCTCATTCTATATTTTAAATCATTGTCTTCTCCTCTCTCGCGTGTGCATGTTTACTGGGCCTTTTCCATCACACAGGAGGAAAGTTGTGACGTATAATTATTCAACAACGCTGGAAGGAATTTGAGAAAAAAAAGGAAATTGCTCTCTTGCTTCCAGCCTTTGAATAAGTTGACATTTTTTGCAATCGTTATCTACTTAAAGAATATAACTATAAAGGGCTACACAAAAAGACATCCAGTGACCATTAGAGTAAAGTAATAGCACTTTATTAAAATCCCTCTAGTATAAATGAGAAGAAAAACAGTGACACAAATACAAAAAAGTTCTATGAACTGAAATCTTTCATCAGTGACGGGTTGCGTATAGCTGTTGTTCTTTAGGACGTCGGCTACTTGGCAGAATACATGTGCTGCCTTTTGTGTTTGAGGATCTCCGTGGACGTGAGGGTCAGGTCTTCGTCACAAACGTCACAGTGATAAACTCTGGTGAGACTGGACATTGAGGAGGAAACTGCCTTTCCACCTTCTGCCTCTGAAAACGCAAAGCCATAATTAGCCTCACATTTCATTATCCATCTCATATGAACCGATCCATCGAAAAGAATATTAACATAAGAAATTGCGGACCTTCTTCTGGCTGCCGCTCTTCTCCGGCTGGCCTGCAGGAGGCCTCGTGCTGCATGCGTTCCAGAGGAGTCAGAGGCATGTAGAGGTCACAGTTGGGACAGCTCCAGAAAGTGCGTAAACACTCACTGTAGAGATCCCTGGAGTCCTGCAAATTATAAAGTGGAAAACACAAAGATCAAAAACAAAAAGTTGGCAGATGTCGACATCAGTTTGTATCAACTAAAATGTCTTTAACAAGAGAGGCTGATCTGTTTGCCCTGTATTCTGATATCAACAACAAGCTCTGCTGCTGTCCAGGAGTCCAGGGTCATGTCACCTGACATGGAACTATTTAGCTAGAAGCTGTAACGTTTAAAAAAAAATCTTTTTCTAACTATTTAGAGACGGTTTGACTAGATTTTTTACTGTTTCAGACAGACTTACAGCCAGACAGTTGTAGTTGAAGAAGCTGGTGACACGCAGGCCTCCTTTAATGGGGTGCGGCTTGGCCTCGACTCCTGGAAACAGCGGGTTCACATCGGTGGCTTCGTGGTGATCAGACTGAGGTCGAGGGCCGATGTACAGGTTCTGGGTCTGGAAGGCCGTGAGTCGCCGTAGGCTGTAAGTTACCTGGGAAGGAAGGTAAGAGGTATATTATAAGGAGTGCAGTATGTTAAATGAGAAGTTAAATGACGATCTGAGTCACTGAGAAAGTCAAATTGAACTATATTGACACATACAAGAGTTCACACGGTCTTATTAGCATCAAGAATACGTGTATAATCTTCTATTAAGGTCGGTTTTTGAGGAGCATCACACGGGCAACAACAGTTCAGGGCTGCATCACTACCTCCGTGTAGAGCAGGAAGCGGACCAGGCCTTCGCTCAGCTTCTCCAAGACTTTACGGGACACCCCCTGGACCTCAGGTCCCCCCATTGTGCTCTGTCCCAGCTGGACCAACAGGAGGCGCTCCCACTCAGCTCGGAGCGTTAGAGCTGTGGAGAAGACTTTCATGGCCTCCTCCGGCTCCCTCAGCTCCACCTCCAGCCAGCCATCCACCACCAGACGTGTGCAGTCAGCGTTGCTGTCCACAGAGTTCGCTACCAGCAGCAGAGCCTAGTGAGCACGCAGACATTTACTGCTACTTCATGATGCACCAGAGCAGGGAATCATGATACAAGAACAATATGTTGCTCAATACACTGGTCTTTGTCGCACATCGAGCTTCACATGATACATGATGTACAACTATGTCAGTAAGTAATCCGTGATCTGTGTCTAAATCGGATTATAAAATGAAATACAGAATTTTATCAGAGCGAAATCCAAGACAATAGAAAAAAACACATCTGATACTCACTTGCAGTGCTGGAACCCGCACGCAGTTGGACAAATATGGCTTGTTGGTCTCCAACAGAGTGACGAAGGCAAGCAGCTGGTGTCTGCTGCTGTCCCGTCTATCAGGTCCTGCAGGTGGGAAACAAAGACAAAGAGGGAGAAGCAAAACAGACAAGATGAGGGACGTGTCCGATAAGAAGAGTGGAAGGAGGAGACTTCAGCGGTGGATCAGGAGGCCAGGGAATAGATTTTGCAACAACTTGCAAAACTCCATTACAGTAGTTTGACTGCAAACACATAAGACAACTGCTGATCTTCTAGTGCAGAACAAGCAGTTGGAAAAGTTTTGGCTTTCATGGTTTCGAATATACCGAATAATCTACACGTGGTGCTCTTGAAAGAAGTTGTCAGAGAGGTTCACCCATTTCTCCGCTGTCATCCTCGGGCACTTGTAACACCTCTGGGTCGCTGGCAAACACACTAGTTGGGTGGATCACCACTCCTTGCTTATTCCTCGTGTGAAACACCTATACATACATCACAAAGGCAAAGGGGATCAATACAACACTATAGAAACAGCTGTTTATTGGATCAACATGGATGATTTAGAGGGCTGACCTGGTCCGAGTCCTTGCGGGTGGAGTTGTGTTCATCAGGCAGTGCCAGCTGAGGGTAGAGGCCACGGCAAAGCAGCAGCTTGAGCAGAGCCTGCTGGCGTGAGGACATGTCCTGACTGACGCTGGCCGCATTCTGCAGCTCTGACACGTTGTGACGCAACTTGAACTTCACATCCTGTTGAGGCCAAACAGCACCACAGAGAGACCACGGATCAGTGTTACTGTGCCACAAAATAGCACAAAGGAAAGTAGAGGGTTTAATGTGGGTGTTGAGGTACAGCGTGTTTTGTAGCAACCTTTCCCGCGTTACCTGTATGTCCAAGTCCTGCCCCGTTCCCGCCTTGTCCTTCTTGCCTTTGCCGGCTTCCTCGGTGTCTGAACCTGAGGAGAACTCTCCGTCCTGGCCCTCGTCCATCCTCAGGACTTTACGTTTGCCACTCTCCTGCTGCTCGTGATCTCTCTTCAGCTGATGCAGCTTCCTCCTCTCTGTTAGCCTCTGCCTGCGCTGCCCGCGGTCACCACCAGAGGGAGTGCTGCTCTCCGATTCCAGCAGGCCGTGGCTCCTCAGCAGTTCCTGTCAACCAGAGAGGGAGCTCATATGGTAAAAGAGTGTTCAAACTTCAGAACATTCAAAAGTGAGATATATATATATATATATATATTTACGTTAACTACTGTGCAGTTGCCTACCTTGAACTGTCTGCGTAGGTTGACCATTTCGTACAGACGCTGCTCCTCCAGGCCTCTCCTTCTGCACCACTTTCTTGAGCCACCACCTCTCTCTCCCTTCACCTGTTCGTGAACGGTGTTAAGCCCAATATAGACCATCTGGTATCAAATCTGACACTGTTCATTTCAAATAGCCAATGTCGAAAAATGTTTTCACCCCTGACCTCCACCCAGGCATTGAAGGTGTTGAGCAGGGTGAAGGGGTCCCCGTGGTTGCTTTGCAGGGGCTGGCGTGCGGTGCCACAGTCTGGGTTGTGCTGCGCGCTGCGCAGGAAAGGCGACTGAACACTAAGGGCTGCTGCTACGGTCAACACGGGATCCACCAGCTTAAACAAGGAGCCCAGCACCAGCATCTTCCCTGAATGAACACACGCAAAAACACACATAAACATAAACATTTGTAGATTTATTTACACGACCCCTTAAGGATAAGCAGTGTGGAAGATGACTGACTGAAACAAAGCTGGAAATTATGCAATTTAACCTTTACAAAACAACTGATGACTGTGTGTGTTCGGTGAAGGGGATCTTACCTATGACCACGTCCACAGGCAGTTGTGCCAGCAAACTCCCGATAGAGGTCAGTTCACCTCGACTGTCCAGTGCTCCCTGCTCTTTGAGATAAGTAACAGCAGTCTGGATACTAGCGGCTGGAGGGGGATCGATGAACACAAAAGAAAGCGGATCTCCAAGACACATGCTCTTCATCTGCAGGAACAAGACAGGTTGAATGAAGCTAAAATGCAACTAACGTTAAAAGTATGAAAAACAATCCAGCTTTCTGTGGGATATTGTTACCTGAAGAATGAGTGAGTCCAGGGCCACTCTGTGGATTTCAGGCACCGGATACGGTGCAAAGTTATCGTAATCGGACTCTGCGTACAGACGGTAACAGACTCCTGGACCTGTGCGACCGGCTCGACCTTTCCTCTGCTCAGAGCTGGCTCGACTGATCCAGAACTCCTGCAGGCGCTGCATCTTGGCCTTTGGATCAAAACTCATCTCTTTTACTTTCCCTGTAAAAGAATGAATGACATAACGACCCATTTGTGTTGGTGTTATTCTAACATTACTATTTAAATTCTCACTTAAAAAGTTAGATAACATTCACACCCCCAAATTCTGCATTTCAGATTTTCTTTCTTTGGATCTTTTGGGACAAATATTGTCTGCACAACATTTGGTTCATTCAGAGGGACCCATTGGGAGGTGTAGATAATTAAAATAAATATTTTCTCCAAATAATGGTACCATACCCGAGTCCACGACAAAGCGTACTCCATCTATTGTAACTGAAGTCTCAGCAATATTGGTAGAGATGATGCACTTTCTAACTGCAGGAGGAGCAATGTCAAACACCTGGAGAACAACAAGATGACAGAGAGAATTAGAGCTAGTAACCCACATTCAACACATTCAAAAATTGCATATGCACCCCCAACCAAACAAAGCCGAGTGTACCTTATCCTGCTGGGCCAGGGAGAGGGTGCTGTGCAGCGGCAGGACGATCCAGCGGCGCGTGTGTGTGGCGTAGACCTGACAGGCCTCTTGGATGGCGGAAATCTCAGCCACACCGCTGAGGAAGAGGAGCAGGTCGCCGCGCTCCTCTGGAGGGTAGCGCTGATCGATGCCCTGCAGGATGCGCAGGTACGGTCTGGGATCCAGTTTCTCCGAGCGCGACGGCTGCTCCTCAGTCGGAATGGGCTGATATATCACCTTAGTGAAGGAACCGCACAGTTTTATTAAATAAATCTGATCTAAATTTAACCACAATATTACCAAAACCAGAAAACACTGAAATATTCAGCTTGGTACTTCATTTCCCAAGTGAATGCTTGGACTACAAAGAATATATTCAAACTAAAATACTGGATGTTTTGAACCCGTTTTGTCTTTGCGTCCATTACTCATGGCATATGTCTTTGACTGTGCCTACAGCAAGGCCCGGCCTGCTTACCTGTATAGGAAACAGCCTGCCTGGTACCTGCAGCACAGGAGCACTATTGAAATAGTCAGAGAAAAGCTTGATGTTGATGGTGGCTGACATGAGGATGAGACGCAGATCTGAGTGCTCAGACAGCAGGGAGCGCAGGACCCCGAGAAGGAAGTCACAGTGGAGGTGCCTCTCGTGGACCTCGTCCACGATCAGCACCTGGTACTGAGACAGCGATTTGTCCTGCTGGATCTGTCGGAGCAGCAGCCCCTCAGTGAGGAACAACAGTTTGGTGGCCGGGGTCCGGGTGGTCTCAAAGCGGATCTGGTAACCCACCTGCAGAGCATTAATACACGTTGTAAGCTTATTCTGATATTTACATTAGGAGTTTACTATCGAGTTACTGCTGGAGACACAGTAGGAGACGATATATGACCAAAACCACAAATAACCATTTTCTATTACTTTATATTATGTTGTCTAATTGTATTTTACGGGTTGTAGCCCTCCACACATTATTCAAAGGGATACCTCCACATTCCTCCCGGCCTTTACGGTGTTGTAAAAGTACTGTCATTAGTCAGTATTTAGAGTGGCCCATTTTAGAAGCAGATGTATTTTATTATTGGATTATAACTGATGCATTACGGTATCACTTTTATGTTACGGCTGGTAAAGCTGCAACTTGTTTTAACTACCCAATACATTGCTGGGTAACTTTGGATTTTGCTGGGATCAATTAAGTCATATTAACCGATAATAATGGACCATGTGTTATAATATTATTATTACTATTTTATTTTTGCACTATTGATCTGAATCCCCAAAGTAACCTCAAAGGAACTATAACTACATATTTTAGTAGCAGACAATTTTTAGTAGGACAGTGAAATAAAAGTACTTCGAATAACTTTAACGACGTCCCTCCGATGCGGCCATGTGCGGGATGAATGTCCGTAGAAAGGTGAGGACCCGCTCAGTCTACCGTCAGAACGTGACCCACCTTTGATCCGTACTGGTTGAGACTCTCCAAGCTGACCCTCTTCGCGAGGGAGATGCAGGCGATGCGCCGCGGCTGCGTGCAGGCGATGTGAGCGAAGCCCGCGGAGAGGAGATACTGCGGCACTTGGGTGGATTTGCCGCAGCCCGTGTCCCCCGCCACCACCACCACGGGGTGCCGTCGCACCGTGTCCACGATCCGGTCCCGGTACTGGAAGATGGGGAGGTTCTTCTGCTCCCGGCGGAGCTTGGCCAGCTTTCCGAAACTCTGCCTCTGGCTGAAGTCCAGGAAGTGCAGCAGCGCCAGGCGGCAGTCGGAGACCTCCTGGCTGCCCGGGCCGGAGGACCTCTGCCGGCCGCGCTGCTCGGACTTCCCGAGGCGCTCCTCCACGTCCCCGGTAACCACGGATACGTTAATGCGGTAACGAGCATCGTACTCTCTCGGGAGGCCGAGGTCCACCTTGGCCGTGCCGGGCTTTCTCCAGTCTCCTCCGCCCCCCTGGTCCCCGGGCCCGGACATGTCCTTCTTGGTTTTGAACCGTTGGAAGCGGTCAAAAAAGGACCAGAACTCCCGGTGCTCCGGGGCTCCGGCCTGGATGTAGTCATGTCGGCGGAAAAAGATCTCGTCCAGCTGGGCTCGGCATTGCGGACTGTCCCAGTCCCAACTGCGGCTGTCTCTCCTCCGGTCCGAGTCCATGTTTAGCGTAGAATACGTTATTCACGACCAATGAATGAAGTCGACATGTTGACGCCTTTGCCTTCACATCTGAATCGGATGACGGACCGGACTAAGTTATAAACTACATCTTGTTCCAGCTGCGTTTTGAACCGATAAAATGAACCGAAGATCACAAATCATGGTAGAAACTGCTGCGCAAACCGGGGGACCAATAATACGGTGGGACCGTTTCCGTTCCGTCCTTAGCCACGTCCCGGCAGCCTTCAGACTCACGTAGTCTTTGTTCCGGAGTTGAACAAATTTAAATTAAACTAATCCTGTTGTCCAGAATTATTGAGCCAGCGTTGCTCTCTTAGAATTATATGATTCGCGAAGTTCGCGAAGAATCGAATCCAATCAGTTTGGATTGCTTCAAAATGTAACATTGAACGGTCTTTTTTTCAAAGACACCATTCGGAGGTTAATGGAGACACATCAAAAGGCCAATTTAAAAACAAAATATAATTTGGATCTGGACCAACATAAGCACTCTGACAGCCCATCTTTCCTCTATTCTGCAGTAATGTCCATCACATGTGGTTTAATCTACTTCTAATCTCTCCTCAGTTTACATTATTTTCACAATGAATAAAGACATGCTAGAAATTGGTTTATGCAGCTCCATTGACTCCTAAACAGTAGTCATGCTAAGTGAAACGACATTGTATACAGTATAAAATTACTATTCTGCAAAAAAAACGTAAACCGTAGTCTAGCGACAGAAAAGTTGAAAAGAACATATTGCAGAGTAAAAAAAATATATATTAAAATAGGAATTCGGGCATAATGCAAATCGAAATGGACTAGTCATCAATAATTATTTCCAAAAAGAAACAGGATGAAAACAGAAATATTTTTATTTAAAAATATTAGCTATGAAACCACAGTTACACAGAAGACTATATGAAGCAACGGAAAAATCTCAGACAAAACTTACAATACCAGTCAAAAGTTTGGACACACTTTCTCATTGAATGAAACAATGTGTACAAACTTTTGACTCTTACTGTACTTATTCATGAAAATATATTTATGCTGATATAAATGCACTTTACAACTGTAAATAGAAAAAGGCATTAATGATTAGAAGGACCGTGCTTACACAGGAGAACAATCACATCACTAACTTTTCAGGGATTTCTGCTGGACACTAAAAAGACAGTAAGTAATATACCAAGCCATAGGAGGTAAGATGGAAGGCTGTCATTGTTTTTATTTTAATTTATAAAATTCAGAACAACAAGGGAACTGGTGGGAAATTCATTCAATTGGTTTGTACTGATAAAACACGAGACAAGAGATTGCAAGGATGCACCGTTCATTTGTGTAACAATCACGCCTAAAATCTATTTTACGGGCAGCACATAACATTGTTCTCCATCAAAATGAGCTAAAAACAAAGGCAAAAAAATAAAAACACACAAAAACCTTTATTTACATTAAAACATTTTCATCAGCCCCACCCTCATAAAATCACAGTCATAAAATGCGTGTCAATTGCTTTTCACCAAATGGTGCAATATCCACCGAAGCTGGGACCGCAAGTCAGCGCCACAACACAACAAGTCGTCAAGTGAAGCCACCTCCTTTACACTGGTACTTGTCATAAGTCCGTGTCCATGTCACTATGAAGTTGTTGGATTTTTTCGCAAGTGGTCTACACTCCTGTCTTTTCTTTCACCCACCCACGGAATTTGGTGACAGTTGTGTAGATGCCAGGTTTGTTCCTGCGGGCACAGCCATCACCCCAACTCACCACTCCCGCCAGGAACATGCGACTGCCGGACGGACTGGACAGAGGGCCGCCAGAGTCCCCCTAAGAGACAATCAAGGTACAAGAGAGAGTCGCTAAATGAGGGCGGGGGTGGCATCGTATGGTCGCTCTCCCCATTTCCCTGCTACACAGACTCCTTCTCTGCAGCTTTAAAGTGCAAAATGTTGGACTTCTTTTATCTTTTATCACTGCAGTGAAATTGACAAATACATTTCTAGCTAATTGTAAAATTTGCATGTCCATAAAATTATTTTGTAAAATATTCTTGGAGAAAGCTGAAACAATAAAAAAGCAAAAGCAGGACAGAATACGGTTCAAGGGTTTTATTACCTGACAAGCATCAACTCCTCCGGTCAGCACTCCGGCACACAACATACGAGAAGTTAACTGCGCTTTCATCAAATCGTTGCACACAGAGTAGTTGATGATTCGGACCTCGGCCTTTTGCAGCACTTTTGCAGCAAATCCTTAATCCCCAAAAAAGACCAGAAGGACAAACTCACACTTTAAATTTGGGGCTGTAAACTACAGTGACAGCAGGTCTAAGGCAGTTATAAAAAAATATATATGGTGTGTATTAGTACGTAAACAACATTTATCTGTAAGCAATATAAACACATATATGATTTTTAGTGCTACAATATAACAGAGCATTAGCTAACAAAATCAAAAACTGTTGACGGTTCATTTTTAAAGAATCCCTTTTTGTGAAAACTCACCTCCTTCTCGGGTGGCGCCCCACCCGGTGATCCACACAGTGCTCCCTGCTGGAAAATCATGTTGGGGGGACGGCAGGCAGATGGGTCTGATGTAATCAGAGTATGTGACAGGACTGTCCAGCTCCATCAGGGCGATGTCATTGTCGTAGGTATACGCGTTGTAGTTAGGGTGGGCGATGACCTGCTTCAGGTTCCTCTTCACCACGTTCTTTGCGGTATTTCCTTGGATGTGAAGGCCGAGGTAAGCTTCCCAAGTGCCGGGCTGGGAGTACCTGAAGACAATTTGTTTGTTGTCAATCTACAGACAGACATGTCATGTAGTTAAATAATTTAAGAAAACATCAAAGTGTTATGTTGACAATAACAACACAGGTCTAGTTTTACTTTGCATGTGAAAAAGTGTTTACATCTTTACATCTTTTAGAACACCCACAGTCTTTGTGTAAACGGCATAATAACTGAATTTAAACACTATCAAGCCTCTCAACTAAGAATAAAATATTTGACCACTACTGTGGAGTTGCTGTTGTTGGGACAACTTTCATTTGTCTAAACATGGCTCTTAAACAATGTGTACGGCATATAAATACATTAATAGAGGGCAATAAAGGGGAAGAAAGATTTCTTGTTGCCAGTGAGAACATTAAGCACAAAGTAAGCTGCTACCTTGTTCGGGGGTCATCTTGCACACAGTGGGCAGCGGTGACCAGCCACTGTGGACTGATGATGGACGCTCCACACACGTGGCCGGCACCTTTGACGTGGAGGCTGACCTGCCAGGGAAACTCCCCATCTTGTGTGTTCTCGCCGCCCACAATACGCGACGTCTTAAACAAACTCCTCCCGCAGTCTGCAACGAAAACAATCAAAGAGTCACGCGGACGGCTTGCTGCAGCGCGTTGTCGCGCCTGAGGTGGGAAGTTCACATCCGTTTTGTCGTGCAAGCTTAACAATGCAGATGGCAATAATAATAAAGCATGCACCCGCTGGGTGTTTCATTGGGACATACCGCAGTTCTCCTCGTCAGATCCGTCTTCGCAGTCCGGTGTCCCATCGCATTCTGGGTTCACCGTATCAATGCATTTATTGTTTTTACATTTATAAGTGAGATCACTGCAGAGCACACCAGTGCCTAAAGAGAAAGGGATTAAAGAACAGTCAAATTTGAACAAACAAATGGGCCCTGTATTAATTCTTAAAATGTGGGGGAATTTCTCCTTTCAGAATCATCATTTGCATATTCCCTAAAAACGTATTCTATGGACATGTCCAAACAGTTTAAAACAGATAAATAAGTCTTCACATTTTAGTGAAAGTTGTTTGAGAACACTAATGAACAGCTGCCAAACAGTGGACATTGAGTTACGTCTGTGTCCACCTGATGAATGGAAGTAAACACAAGCGCAGCGATTTGAGCTCTGCTTTGATCTTCACATCTTCTGGAGAAACATGTGGTTCTTTTGCACCTATTGCTCCACTTTGCTCACTTATCATTGTTTTCTTATGTCTACAGTTAAGTGGTGAACAGATAATGTACAGTAGGTCTATCAGGGATTTTGAGTTTAGCTTCGTAAGGACATTTGGAAGCCACACAAGAGCTAATTTAATCTGCAGAGGTGCTTCACTCCAGTGGGGAAATCATTTTTATTCTCCTTAACAATGAAACAATGTTGATGAGATGTTTTTGCAGTTTAGAAAAGGACTCTTACTTCTCCCGCAGTTGAGCTCATCCGACCCGTCCCCACAGTTGTCTATGCCGTCACAGAGATGCTTCTCAGACACACATTCGTTATTCTTACATGTAACTAGTCCGGATTTGCACCCTTAGATAAGGAAAGAAACAGTTGGCATGAGTAACAAAACACCTGTTAAAGCTCTTGTAAAATCCGTCCTCTATGAGCCTTACCACAGTTCAGCTCGTCTGTCTGGTCTCCACAGTCGTCTACGCCGTCACATTTCCAGAACATGGGCTTACACAAGCCATTCTTACAACTGATATCCTGTGGCTTGCATTCTGAAGATAAATCACAGTTGAACTCACTTTGTGTACCAACGGTGTGGCGAGTAGTTACACATTAATGAGGAAAACTAGTTCAGGACTCGTGACGCGGTAAGACAAGTACTTACTGCAGTCTAATTCATCACTCATGTCTCCGCAGTCATTCCAGCCATCACACTGGAGCTCTGTTTTAATGCAGCGCTGATTTCTGCACTGGAACTGCTTAGGACAAGCTGCGGATGACATCACAGGGCTGACGTGAGATAGACTCGCCCAGTGTCTAGAAATAACCATCATCAGTCACTCACGGTCTTTGGCGTTGATGGCCTCATAGGACGCATTAAAGCCTCGGTCCACATAGGAGGCATCAGAGAAAAACACAACTTCCATGGTGTTGGTCTGGCTGGTTTCTGTTACGGTTCCTTCAGGCTTTTCTCCACAAAATCTGAGGGTGACGCGCGCAAGTAGTGAGACGTCTGCTCTGTTATGTAAATCCTGAGTGGTTTTCTGAGATACAAGCATGGACTCACTTCTTCCCGTTGACCTGCACGTAGTCTTTGAGACAGTCCTCACCGTCCTTCTGCCCGGGCTCAGACAAGAGGAACGTCTTGAACGTCAACTTTACCGCATTGCCATTAGGGACCTTAATGATGGACAGACGGTTGACAACTTATCGACATGTGGACGCAGGGAGCCTCCGAGGAGCTGAACAGAAACATGATATCGCTGTGTATGAAGTGTTGATTGACAGAGAACTCATCTGACCTCTTACACCTACTTTCGCTCTGTCACTCAGTCCCACTCCTCCTACTCACAAAGCCGGCAATCACCCTCCCCCATTGACTGACTCTGTACCTGTTAGTAGCAATATTCGCTCCCTCTCTCCCTCCTCCCTGGCATCCTCTGTTCTATCAGCTCTACTGACTCCTTCTCACTCCTGCATCCTAACGCTGCTGCAGAGACTCTCCTCTCATCTCTTTCCTCCTATCTAGACTCTCTCTGCCCTCTTACGACACGACGGACTGGCAAATCCCCTCCGGCTCTGTGGCGGTCTCAACCGGTGCCATGAGAGCCACCATGCGAGCGTCATAAAGGAGATGGCGTAAATATAAACGACCTGATGACCTGCTTGAATTTCAATCGCTCCTTCCTCTTTTTCTGCTTCTATCTCTGCTGCCAAAAGCTGTTTCTACCAATCCAGAATTGATTCTTCATTTTCTAACCCCAAAAAACTCTTTTCGATCTTCTCCAACCTCCTCGAACCCCCTAGCCCTCCTCCCCCCTCCACCCTTCTTCCGGGTGACTTTGTCAACTACTTTACCAAGAAAATAGCTGACATACGCTCCTCTTTCTCAAACCCACCTCCTACTTCTTGCTTCCCACTGACTTCAGCTCTATCGCTCTCACTTTTCTATCAACCCCGACAAGACTGAACTACTTCTCTTTCCGGGAAAAGTCTCTCCGACCCAGGACCTGACGGTCAACTATGGCAACTCCGTGTTAACGCCCACTTTGACCGCTAGGAACCTCGGCGTGACACTCGACAGCCAACTCTCCCCGACTCCCAACATTACTGCGACAACACGCTCTACAACATCAGGAGAATACGTCCCCTTCTCACTCAGAAGGAAGCACAGGTACTGATTCAGGCTCTTGTCATCTCCCGTCTGGAATACTGCAACTCCCTCCTGGCAGGTCTCCCTGCTACCGCCATTCGACCTCTGCAGCTCATCCAGAATGCAGCAGCTCGACTGGTCTTTGACCTTCCGAAATTCTCCCACACTACTCCACTCCTCCGCTCTCTTCACTGGCTACCGGTGGCCGCCCGCATCCAGTTCAAAACATTGGTGCTCACGTACCATGCTGTGAATGGACCGGGTCCAGCTTACATCCAGGACATGGTGAAACCCGACATCCCGACCCGCACTCTCGGCTCTGCATCTGCAAAACTACTCGTCCCTCCCTCACTGAGAGCAAAACACTCGACTAGATCATGACTCTTTGCTGTCCTTGCTCCGAAATGGTGGAACGAGCTCTCTGAAGACACCAGGACCGCAGAGAGCCTTCACATCTTCCGCCGCAAACTAAAGACACACCTCTTCAGACTCTACCTCCACTAAAGACTAACAAATTGTAGCCCTTAAATTGTACTTATAACGCCACTTATCTATAGCAAATTGTAAATTGGCTTATTTGAGGAAATTGCACTTTCTTGTTCTTCTGAGTTTGTATCCTTATGGTTGAATGCACTTCTTGTAAGTCGCTTTGGATAAAAGCATCAGCTAAATGACATGTAATGTAATGTAATGATTAAGTGCCGTCGTCTCACCTGAATTGACCACTGACACAAATTCCGAGGAGGATAATAACTTGGAAAGTTGGGAGAAGTGAAGGTGCCCTTTTCACCCATCAGATTGCCACCGCATGTTACAGCTGTTAAAAATATATCAGTGTCAGGATTTGATTTGATTTTTCCAAATGTGAAACAGTTATAATGCAGATCAACAAAGAGTTTCAGACATTAATCCCTACCTTTACTTCCGCGCGGGACTTGTGAGACTTTTGCTCTGAAACCCGGGTAGTCGTTTTCTTTATCTGAGGCCATCGTCACCAGCATGACATTGCCAGAAGACAGAAAGGTCAAAGGTTGACTAGGTGAGTGGTACCCACACATCCTGAGGAAGAAAAAACAAACAACATATATTTTCTGTATGTACTGTTCACTGATTTGATGTTATCGAGACCATCATTTGTTTTTAATTGCATGTTCAGATCAAATGTCTCTACGACAACATTTTCTTTCATCCATAAGGAACCGCAAAGGCTGATCTGCATCATCTTATCTTGAAAATTATCCGGCTAACTCAGTTAGCCGCGTACAAGGAACAGGGCCCGGGCAATTAATTCACAGCATGTTTTTTCCAGTTTGGAATAAATTTCTCAAATTCATTCATCGAATCGGCCCAAACAGTTTGACTCTAAACTGGTATATAGCCACTCTGATTATTCCTTGTTAACCCAGGCAGTGATAAGCAACTGCACCTTTGTAAGCAGTAAAAGGAAACATTAGAAACACAGCGTGTGACCAGCAGAGGGCATCACATACAAGAGTCCTCTCTATCCTATTCAGAAAATACGCCGCTGGATGAATGTAGGAATACGGAAGGTAGTCAAGTTGTGGCTCTGCTTAAAGCTGTATTTAGATGAGACCAAAGGAAAAACTCACTCGTCCATGACGCTGCTCTCGATGGCCACCAGGGAGTCGTAGATTTTGATAAAGTCATTACTGCAGTCCTCTTCCAGATTCATCGTGTCAAAGTCGAGCTTGATGATGTGCTTGGGGTCGGCTCTAAGCTGCCACTGGATGAAGGTGTTGGGGGGATATGCACTATTAGGGAAGCCAGGCGACTGGATCTGTCCGATTTCATTGGGCTTTGTATGCATTGAAAACTGCATATATCCTGAGACAGAAGAAAAGGCATTGAGGGATGCTCCCATTCAAATCACAAGAACCAATTATCTCAATGTAAAGTCAGTGACTGCCTGTTCACAAACTTATTCTGATATCACCGTGCATGCTCATTTGAAACAGCTTTCTTATTTGTACTTCAGAATTTAGCATGTTTTGAATATGATGGAACACTGTCCTTAAAATACACAAGTTACAAATGTGTTTTTGCCAAATAGAAACAAGAGTTTCAGCCGTTTCAAACCGCGTGAACTAAGTGTAAAGACACGTTTGCGGTTTTCCACTTACACAGATGAGTTGTCAATAATAAAGACATCGAGAAGAACACTTACTGCTGAATGGTGTTGAAAGGAGTCGGGTATCAAGTGCTGTAAGATGAAACACATTAAAATAACTTTGATGAGGAATACTGAAGGTATATGCATATGTCAAACATGACATTCTGCAACAAACCGTAAGCAGAAGCGAATGATGAATTATAGACTGAATTAAGCAAAGGAGGCCTGTACTTGTACCTGAAGATCTCACATCTTCAAGGACCAGAGAGTTGCTGGGTCTGGCCACGCGTCGCTGCTCTTTGTCCACCAGCTTGTCCATTGAAGACATGGCTGAGTCGACAGAGGCCTCTTGGCCTTGAGGGACATCGAACTCGGACAGGTAGTAGCTAATGACACTGCCTTCACTGAGGGCAAAGACACAAAACGTAAATAGATTTTTCGATTTCTCTCGATTCTCTCCAGAACGATTCGGAATCGATTCAGAAAAGTCAATAATCGGAATTTAAAAAATTAAATTAGTTCACCTGCTATGCACGCGGGTCTAGTGCGCCCAACGCGCATGCGCACTAAACGCACCGAACGCACATGCGCGAATGTTTATAAACAAAGTTGAAGCGGCACTAAAATGGCTGCAACGGACGTATACGACCGGCACCGGCTTCTTTAAAAGCTGCCGTACGGCAGCTTTTTGGATTTTATGAGTTTGACGGCAAGATGGACAAGACTTACACCATTTGTAAGGACTGTAGAAGTAAAATAAAATACTTCGGAAATACAACAAATCTGCAGAGCCACATTTCCCGACACCACTCAGGGTTGGGAGGAAAAAAGGCACCCGTTCCTGATGGCAGCCAGGTGACGATTGAACAGGCACTGGTATAACTGCCACACACTCAGAGAGGGCAAAATGGATTACTAAATCCATTGCCAGATTTATTGCAGTGGATTTAAGGCCATATTCAGTTGTGGAGAACGTGGGTTTTCAGGGAATGGTGACTACACTGGAGCCGAAGTACAAAATACATTCTCGGCGATACTTCACCGAAACAGCTATACCAACGCTGTACAATGTGTTGAAATGCAAACGCCATAAAGTAGCGTATTATTGTGTAGCATAACTTATTTTCTGCCTCAGGGATATGCTGCTTATTACCCATAATAAAAGGGGCATTTTGTGTTTGAAGTCTTCTTCTTATCATTGACTAAGAGCAGCTTTTTCTTTAATAATTTAAAAGAAAAATGAATCTGTTTAATATTTTTTTTTACATAGGCTACTTCCATATTGTGTTGAAATGCAAGCTGCATTGGTTCTTGCATTGTTGATAGAAAATCATATTTGTAGAATTAGAATCGAATCGTTGACCTCGGAATCGAATCGAATCGAATCGTGAGGTGCCAAGAGATTCCCACCCCTAGTAAATAGTGTAGCGGTAAGAAATATAACGTAACTTCTTCTAGAAGGGTCAGACACATGGTGCCGATATATCGAGCGTCTTATTAGTCTTATATCTCTTATAGCAATGATAAGATGCTGTTTTGTAACTGTAAATTCTACATTACTGATACAATTTAAACTGAATTGAGAGAAAGTAAATAGTAAACCCAATCCAATTTATTGTGATAGAAACCTCCCCGTTATATTCTAAAGTTGCAATATTAATAAAGAGATTGATGTGTTTTAATATAGTGGTGCTATTGGATCTGCATGCATGCACAAAAAATAAAAACACCATTTCTAAATGTAATCTTCTTTTAGATGCTAACTAACTCACAAAAAAAAGTCAAGAGAAACATGTCTCTCTTGGTAGAGGCAATAAAGAAGGAGTCCTACCTGAAAGCCTGAACTGTAGAGCCAACATAGTACTTGGCCAACTGTGGACTCTTGGAATAGATGGATTTAAGCTGAAAGAGACAGGAGCAATATCGCAGCAGGGAGTGAATGAATGTGCTTTGAATACAACCGCTTTCATTTTCTGAAGAGAGGCCAGTGTTGTTCGGCCCCGAGCAGCAGTCTTACCTGTGAGGTCACCTGCCTCGCCAGCGCCTTGAACTCGGAGCTGTTGGAATTCTCGTAGGCATCTATGAAACCCTGGTTGGTGATCCTCATGGAGCCGCTGTACATCCTTTTAAGTCGCACATCATTACGGACTGCGGAACACACAGGAGACTGAGGATACACAGCCACACTCTTTCTGCATTGAGCCCATTTCTATCTCTAAACTGTGGCTTTCTTGACTTCTATCACTAGTGAATAAAGTGTTAAGTAGAATTTAACTTGCTTCAGAACATTTTCAACAACAGGCTGTTATTTTATCAGATTGAATTTAATGACTTGTTTTCTATTCCCTTGATCTATCTACAATATATATATATATATATATATATATATATATATATTACCCCCTGTTCTTAGTCCTGGTAGTTTATCCATTTGTTTGTTAACAATATATTTCAAAACTTCAGCAGATTTCAAAGACATAGAGAGGAATATTATCAAGATCCAGCAACATTAGCTTGAATAAAATCAATCTAGCAGATGCAGGAGCTTATGAAAGGTAAATCTATGCAATTGATCAAAAATCAAAGCATTCTTTTTTCACAAACTGTTTGCTATTTAGTCCTATGATCAAATAGATATCAAGGAAGGAGTTCTTACAGTGGAAATGCCAGACTAGCAGTCCGGTCATTAGAGCGATGACGGCAGCAAAGATCACCACGCCGATGACGGCCCCAACGATCCCCGGGCCCTTCTTCTTCTCCAGCTTTTTGTTGTCCGATGCGGGCAGGAACTGGATATTGGTGTCCCAGTCCTTGTCCTAGATGACAGACAGAGCGTTGTATTTGTCAATAGTGGGAACACATGGGTGGACATTTAAACTCTATGCTGCAGGTCGGCGATAGTAACCGAAGGCAAAGGTTCTGGTGTGGTTCAGGAACGCTCTCAGCCGGCGTTTACCCGAGGAACTCGGACCATAAACCTGTCCGGAGATGTGACAAAGTATTTGTCTTTGACCGCCGGCTGTTTTTAGAGGTCTTCTGAGCCGGATTTCCTTTTATATCCACTCACAAAACAAAACAAAAAGTACCGTTTTGGTGTCTTGCGCTCTAAATGAAGTAGAAGCAAACTCTGAGCGTGAGTCACGGCTTGGAGTTTACCTTTAAGAGGTGAGGCGCTCGCGGGTTAGGGAGTACAAAGGTTTCACCATTTCAAATCCTGTCCAACCTGCTGGGAACAAACCACTCGCTGGTCTGTTGTGGCACATAACAAGTTTCTGTGCGTTTGCCCGCTGTACTATAGCACAACATTTAAAAAAGGTCCCAGGGTCATATTAATAATTTTAAAAAGAGGGCTTTGATTTTGAGGCCTGCAGGTTGTAAAATGACACGGTGCTTATTGGAGGATCGTCCGCAGCGCAAAACTACACCTTAATAAAGTGCCTCCCTGTGCGTATGAACAGCTGAACGACTACCATTAGATTTACTGCACCTACGGCAGCACGCGCTCCTCTTACAAGAACAGGTGTGTCATTCTAAGTTCAAAAGCTCCCTGCAGTCTGTAGAATACGTTATGTATGGATCTGTGTCGTTTGTTAACCATGCTTAACACATTTATTACCCAAAGCGTTCTAAATAACAGGCTGCAAAATAAAAGAACACCAATCCAATCTTCTTAGTAACAGTTAATGTAACCGCCTCTAACGGGAATCTAGTCATATATTTAGAAGACCAGTGAAATACAAAACATGCAATTCATTACAACACAATTCAAATGCCTTTAGTCATCACATCGTGTCACTGTCGATCTCCTGCAGAGCAACGTCCCTCCTCAGATGTGTCCTGCTCACACGGATGTCACAGCACAGAAGGGAAAGACTCGGGTGAACTAGTCCCAACAGGGTGGAGTAATTTCGAGGAATTCAGGGCCTCCAGGCCGCCCGCTTTGCTTTCCGAGGACCTTCACAGATGAAGCTTCTCCACCATGTAGAGAGAATGGTGCTTGGTGTGTGTGTGCAGCCTCAAAGGCCTGGTTTGTTCTCGGGATCAAAATACGGTTACAGAAAATGATGCCATGGGACAAAGAGCACAAGATTGTAAATTGAAAAAAAAAAATCTACTGCTTTAAAATAAAATATGAATCAGGTATCCTATGAATTGCGGGTGGTGTACTATTACTTTTTAAAATGTATTTTAAAAGCACACAAAATGACAAAATGAACAGCAACGAAGCAGAGACTGCGTGAAAGAATTGCTGCAGGATTTCTCACATCGCTGATGTTTGTTTCTGTTACGGTGAAAACACAAGCAACCTGCTCTACTTCACACAGGGACACTTCTGCTGCGGGAAGGTTCGTTCCGCGTCGCTGCCACTGAATCGCTGACATTTTAAGGTTCTGCATCGGTTCGAACCACTTCCGGTCTGATCGTCACAAATACGCACCGATGTGAGCAAAGAGTCGTTGAGTTACCGCCCCAACTCGTCCACTAAGCTCGCGTCTTTCCACGTCAACGGGTTAAAACAACACTGCAGACGTCTCTTACCGGCTTCGGGGTGTATCTCAGTCCGCTGTCCATGTAGTCCATTACGAGCCAAAAACACCTGAACTTCTGCTTCTTCTTCTTCTTTTCGCTCCTCTGTTTATTCGAGTAGCGTCAGGTGCGTTTTCAACCTGCGGGCCTTCGGCCGCCGAGAGTTTCGTCTCGTGTTTGTCAACGAATTAACAAATTAAAAAAATAAAATAATAAATAAATGTACTCCAGTCAGGTTACGACGACGGAAAATGTCTTTTGGTGTCTTCAAGAGAACTGTCTCCCCGGTCGAGGGGCTCACAAACGTCCGTCCGGCGCGAATCCGTCGTGGACGAAACTAGGTGAGTCGGGAGGAACTCTGTCAGAGGGCTTCGGGTTTCTGAGGGCGTGGCTCGCGCACCTGTCGCGACTTCCTGTTTACTTGCCACAGGTAAGCAGGAAGCCGTTACCTTTTATGGGAAAGGACTACAGAAACACGCTGAAGTAAATAAAAGCACGCAACTCATGATATTGTGTTACTGACAGTGCTTGAAGTTAACAATGTGTTGTGGTGTTTCGAACATTAGATTCAGCTTGGGCAAGATTCAAAAGTGTTAACTAATCAAAATACTTCAAGTGAAGTGGCAAATGGTACTTTAAAATGTATTCTTGCTTCTTTGTGTGAACATATACATATTCAAATAGCTTGGTGTGTGTGTAGATTGGAGGAGGCATTTGTGAGTATTTGTGTTCTCTGCAGGAAACCGATGGATTGCTTACTCCAGGTAGGGAATGTGTCCTTACCCCAGGTGAAGGAGTTCAAGTACCTCGGGGTCTTGTTCACGAGTGAGGGTGAAGATGGAGTGTGAGTTGGGCCGGAGAGTCGGAGCTGCGGGGGCGGTATTGCACTCGCTTTACCGCACTGATGTGACGAAAAGAGAGCTGAGCCGGAAGGCAAAGCTCTCGATCTACCGGTCAATCTTCGTTCCTACCCTCACCTATGGTCATGAAGGATGGGTCATGACCGAAAGAACTAGGTCACGGGTACAAGCGGCCGAAATGGGTTTCCTCAGGAGAGTGGCTGGCGTCTCCCTTAGGGATAGTGTGAGAAGCTCAGCCATTCGCGAGGAGCTCGGAGTAGAGCCGCTGCTCCTTTGCGTCGAAAGGAGCCAGTTGAGGTGGTTTGGGCATCTGGTGAGGATGCCCCCTGGGCGCCTCCCTAGGGAGGTGTTCCAGGCACGGCCAGCTGGGAAGAGGCCCCGGGGAAGACCCAGGACTAGGTGGAGAGATTATATCTCTGCACTGGCCTGGGAACGCCTTGGGATCCCCCAGTCAGAGCTGGTAGATGTGGCCCGGGAAAGGGAAGTTTGGGGTCCCCTGCTGGAGCTGTTGCCCCTGCAACCCGACCCCGGATAAGCGGTTGAAAATGGATGGATTTGTGAGAATCTAAAACAAATTACAAATAGATGTTTCATTTGACTTCATTGACTCCAGCCCCCTGCGACCCTCTATGACGGATAAGCGGTTTGAAGATAGATGGATGGATGTTTCATTGGAAGATCACGTAGGGCTCTGTAAGCATTTTAGACTTCACAACATCAATTTTAAGCATTTGTATAAGCCTATTTTAGTATCATTTCCATGACACATCCAAGGATCTGCTTCATCTTAGTTAGAGTTTGTGCAACTGTACGATGACTCACTCTTAAATCACGTCTACTTATTTTTACATTCATGATGAGCCATACTTTTCTGTTTCAGGAAATAGCCCCTCCCATCAAAACCGAAATCCCCCTAATCCGTGGGGAAATAGATTGAATTATTTTTTGGGAGCGATTTTATATAGTTGACTGTTTTTTGTATTTTATTTTTATTGAAAAGTGTATGAAGTTTAATACGCAATAGAATCAAGGTAATTGGTCATGTTGCAAAATGTGTTTACCCCCATTAAGATGAAAGCTCCTCTAATCTGTCCTGAAATGTACACAACCAAAATGTAAATAAAGTTTTTAGGTTTTCGTGGAGCAGAATGTGAGGCAACAATAGGTCTGAATGCAGATTGTAGACTGTATGTTAGTTATTGGGCAGTTTTTCACAGTTCATTATGTGTATGGATAACCTTTTGTTTAAGTTTGTTTTTATAAAAATAACTTTTCCCACTTTATGAGACTAATCATTGTATAGCCGGCCATGTAAAGTAGGCCTGTGGCCCGCAGAGGGCAACGTCTGCGTTGGACATGGTAGTCCCTAAAAAACTCGAAATAAAAAGGCAATGAAATAAACTATTCGGCAACTAATTGATCAACTGATGTGGGAAACTAATTTGTGTGATCAATCAATATCAAGTGATGTTTAATAAATAACGCCTTAGCTTTTCGTGTTGCAGTTTCTCAAATGCAAACATTTGCTTTTTCCTCTTTTCTGATACTGAACTGAACATTTCAGTATCAGATAGTTTTTGTTTGTCATTCTTGCATACCAAACTGTCTGTTTATCTATAGATGAAAAGATGACACATCCATATGGAAGTTGTGAGTTTATTGATGTGTATCCCCCCTGTAACCACAAATCAGTTTCCATCAAATTATTTTTTTAATCACTAATATGCATATTATATTAGTTCCCAATCCTCCACCACAATCAAGCAGGCGGTTACAAGATTGAAGCCGTTTGGGTGCATAGTGAGACAGTCACATACAGAGATACTGTCACAGGAAGAAGAAAAAATAGAAAACAAGAAACCAAAATCCAAAATATATGTCATATCATATAAGAACAATGCACACCACAGGTAACCATTTGGGGGGAAAAGCCATGATTGTAACATCAACTTTACAGGCATACAAAGACAATACTAAGAGAGAGAGAAAGAGAGGGAGAAGAGAATTGTAGGAAGTGGTTTTGCCTACTTGTACGTGTCAGTATTTAAAAAAGATACGTCAGCTACATTTTTCTTTTCTTTTTTTTTGTTTTGTTGCAGAAACAAGTTCTCCAAGCCTTGTCTTTCCGTGTGTCTCTGTTTGCCTGCACAGCCCTCCAGCTCCAATTTACCTGTAGCTGGCATGGATCCAGGGCCGGCACAAGCCTTTCAGGCTACTCAAATCCCAAATACCCAAATACAGATTGACAAATAAATTAGAGAATTATTCACAATACTGCTAAATCAACCAAATGTGAACATTTTGACTTAATTTGAGTAGCCCTGGTGATTTATGGGCCCATAGCAGCTGCTCATGTTGTTAGTGCGTCTGTGCCGGCCCTGTTTTGATCGATCACACTGTTTTACGCTTCATGACCAGCAAAGCCAACAGCTGCTCCTTAAACGTGTGTGTACATTATCTACAAAATATGTTATACGCAGTTCTCTTGTTTTCTGCTTCAGATATAGAGTTCAGGAAATATTAAAACAAAATCAAAACGAGAAAACAACACTTGTTTTTAGCATGTCATCGCCTGCTGTCAGTGTTTGTGACAACGCATCCAAAATCACATAGAAACCTGTCCGATACATAGTATGGAAAGAAAAACTTCCAAGATACATTCAACTATATACCACACATCAATAGGTATTCTTTAATCTATCGATTTATACTGTTTCCCTATTGATAAAACCTTTTGTGTGTGTGTGTGTGCGTGTGCGTGTAGGAGGGGATATATGATCACATTCACTTAGTTATGGGTCAGAGTAGATGTTGTGTGATGTGTTTGAGCTGGAGGTCTGTGCACACCTTCACCTTCCCTGACTCTGTGCAACAGCGCGCCTGCAAACACAACTCATGACCACAAAGCTAAGAACCCGAAACCAACTCATAACCGCTTTCCTGGGGAGAAAAGGCATAATAAAACCAATCTATTCTTATATATATTTGAACTGTATATGTATATTTTGTCTGTTATCATAACAAAGAACAGAAGGTAAATAATTCATGATTTTTTTTCTTCTCATTTGTTGTTTCACTATACATTTTAATTGGTACAAAGAACCTTCATATACAAGCAATCTATTGAGAGGAAGAAGAACAAAATAAAACAATTATTTGAGCAAACCATCAGACTCTGCATGAATGACCCTTGCATGATGGAAAACTCAAGTGTACTGTCGGGTATGCTGGTTTAAAGATGGCCACTCAAAAGACATTACAAATTTTGCTTGATTTGCTTTTCACTTTCAAAAACAATGTTATACACCTTGATCTGAGATAGCTGTATTGATAATTACAAAGAAATCTGCAGTATCACATTTTACATAATGCAAAATGGCAGATACATCCCCGTCTCCAAAGAAACAAGATCAAAAAGAGCTCTATAGTACAATAGTAGCAGTAGTAGAAGTAGTAGCATTATTTAAGGATTGTTCTGATCAAACCATTAAATGGAGTTTGGATTCAAGCAAATTATCTTAACAATAGCATGTGTTATTGGTCAGTAGTATGTTCTCCCTCAGTTGTCCGTCCTCCCGACAGACTCCACAGCGCCGCCTGTGCGCTCCGTCTAGATCTGCATCTGCTCCAGATATTTGTAGGTGGGGTTTTCGTAGCCATGGTTTTGCATTTTGCTGAGGTGGCGTTCCTCTGGTGTCAGCATTGGATCAACCTGTGAGACGGAAACACAAAACCCTCTTAATGGCCAACTTATTTAAAAGAGTTAAAACAAAGCCTAACAACATGCTGTGTGTGATGTATGCAGAGACAATGATCTACTTTGCCTTGCATTATCCACGTAACCCGGATAATTTCATCTAAATCTGACAGTGGAATTAAGATATATGGCACCGGTGTGTGTGTGTGTGTGTGTGTTTCACAATCTCCGAACAAATAACAGGTAGATTACCTCCACGATGCCATGACTGATAGTGCCATATTGCCTCTTCCTCAAAAGCACCAGACTGATCACAATAACGGTTGCTATGGCCACCGCGATCACCAGCAAGCCAATCAGTGCGCTGCTGCCGAAGCTGAAGTCCTCTCCCAGGGGCCGATAGGTCTCCTAACAGGTTGAAATGGGGGAGAGGAAGACAGAGAGCAACAGTGAGACATTACATGTGCAGGTAACCACTGAAGCAATGAAACGTTATCTTTGCAGTGGTAATGAAGCCACCGTCAACATACCACTCAGTAGCTACCTTAATCAGATTACTTTCTTTTGCTGAATAGACTTTCAGGTTTTTGTCATGCTGTTATTGGATAATATCTATCAAAGCTTCAGCCATCTAAAAAATATGTGTGAACTCTTATTTTTGTATTTCTAATATTCATTACGACTGAGGAGCATAACAGCTATTGATGAGTGTGAAGTCATCAATAGCTACGAGGATTTCCATTGGACTGTTATCTGTGTTTACTTTAGTGTAGCTCAAATAAAAGGATTTGCAATTATTTCTGTTGATTTGAAGTCTCTTTGCAAAGCTGCAATAGAGTCACACTTCTCATCAATATTG